GTGCCCCGTGCAGGCGCCATTGCACAGGAGTGGGTATATGCTGACTGGCTGTCTTGCTCGCTCATCCCTCTCACAGGTTATCAGCCGTTCTTGCTTTGCCCTCCGGGCCATGTGACCATCGTTACGTTGTTGCTCATTCTGAGTTGTGGTTGCGCTACGCCACGCGAAGGACGGCGCAATTGCTTCAGGTGACGTGACGGATCTCTTTGCCCATTTTGAGTTGTGCAGCGCCGATCGCAGGACGGCGCAGTAATTTCAGATGATGGGGCGGTCCGTTCTCAGTACATTGTCTGCCAACAATATGATCGAATCTGATACCGTATATTTTACTTGCATGGCAAGGCGTCTGAGTACGACCTATGCAAAGCATCATCGCCATGACTCCTATCTTGATGCTGGCATCACAGATTCGACGCATAGCTTGACGATCATAGTACATGGTCGAAGCCTGAAGTGGCTCACCTTCTACGTTTTGCGCTATCCAGTTGATCAGTTGTTATCGCAACTTCGATCTTGATATCACTTGAATTCGGGTCTGAATGGTATCTCGATATGTCCCCCATTCTCAAGGTTCTTTCTCTAATTTCTTCACGTCGTCTTTCGTCGGGAGGGAGGTCTCGCTTTCCGCCTCCCCGCAGGTGCACGTCGACGCCCTCCTCTTCTCGCTTTCTGTTGTCCTTTGGTATCTCCATCCATCCATCCAGCCATCCATTGCTTCTCTCTCCCACAATCCACGTGTCCTGTCCTCTTTGTCTTCGCCCTTATGTGTGTGCATGTTGTCACCATGAACGCAATCATTTTGGAGCGATTGTTGGAAGCTGTGTCGTACCGAACGGTATTCGCCTAACGTTTCGATGCATCTGAGCGCGTGTGTATTGCTTGCGGATAGAATCTCCGTGATCGTTTGCGGAATACCAACGCCCTGGCAGAGTTACATGATGCACAGGCCCAGACCTGCACCCTGGTGTTCCCGACTTCGGCTTACGATTTCGCCTCCCTCGAAGCCCGATGGCCGACGTATGGACGGCGGCGGGCCTCATGCGGGACTGGCATTTCGTTCCCCTAATCGAGAAGAGTAGCCCCGAGCTGGCGGGGGCGCCCTGTGTCCAGGCATTTGCTTCATGTCACCTCTCCCAGGCTCGAAAAGAGATTCGTGAATCAGAGATGCTGACAAGGCACGGGTTGAGGAAGTCCTTGCCCGTTTGGACCGCATGCATGTCGCACGGTGCACGTCGCAACAGGCGAGCAGGAGCCAAGTCTATCATGTACGCGCAGAGGATTCCGAGACGTCGATGGCGGGAGCCCATAGGCACCCACAGCTGATCCATGACCTTTGCTTTGTTTGGGGATCTATGGCTGTCACAGTCACATGCAGGTTGGCCTTCCTCGCAGAGCTCGCAGCGCCCACGACTACAGGTTGAGTCCTCGCGGTGGGCCCCGCGGCGGCTCCGTGCAGACCCCCTACCCTTCTTCTCTTGCAACGTACGGGCACAGATGTCCCTCTTCGGGGGGGGGTCTTTCCCCCCTTTCTCCCTTCCCCCTCCTCGCTTCCGGTCCCGCAGCCTCTGGGGGTCGTGGGAATTCCCCTCCCCGCGTCTCCCTGGAGTCGGGTCTGTTCCCTTACTCTCTTTTCTCCTTCTTCCTGTCACGAATTGGTGACCTCTGCGGGGGGGTCACAGCCCCGCAAACTGGCACCTCTCACCGCGGAGCCTTAAAAAAAAACATGCTCGAGGTGACCAGAGTCCGGCCATTGTCGATAAGAGCAGCCCATCTTGGGCGGGGATGGCGCGCCCCTGATCGTTAAGAGCAGCCCATGTTGGGCGGGGGCACTAGTTCCCTCTATCTCGTTTCTTCCTCTTGTTTCCCTCTCTCGCGTGGTCTCGTGTCGGGGGGGGGGTCGGCGGCGCTGTCGGTGCTCCCGCTCCTCAGGGCAATTGAGCCTCGAGGAATCCAGTGGTTGAGCTCACATCGTTTGTCCTGCCCCCCCCCCGCAGGTGTTCGTCAAGAGACGCGTGTCGATGTGCTCAAGCTCTCGCGCGCTCTCGCAATCCTGCCTTCCTTCTCTGTCGCTACCGTCAGGTACGCATCTTGAGCTACAACGCACTGCGCAATACGCAATCCAACTTATATCCATGCTATTTTGACATCGTGTACACGTGTCAGATTTCCAATCCTTTTGCCTGGCCAGTTCTTTTTCATCTTCTGTTTGCTTCCGCCACCCATGTGTCGTAAGCGGGGGGGGGGGAAGATGTCTCAGGCCAGGCCAGTGGGGACACCTGCAGTTGTTCTCTTCTTTCACCTCTCTGTGCGTGACCCTCAAGGCGCACGCGTCTTTGTGGAGTGTCCTGCGGCCAAGTGCCCCGTGCAGGCGCCATTCCACAGGGGGGGGGTATATGCTGACTGGCTGTCTTACTCGCTCATCCCTCTCACACTCCCTCGCCATTTACGACCCTGACGCTAAAGAATTGGCAACGATTTCACAGATGGACGGCGGGTCGCTTCCAAAATGCGGCTCTCGCCTCAGCGTCGTGCACATTCGCTTGAAAAAAGCAAGAGTTTCACGGGTTGAGGGCGGGCCGTTTTCAAAATGCGGCTTTCGCCTTAGCGCCGCGCACATTCGTTTAAAAAACGCAAGAGTTTCACGGATTGAGGGCGAGCCGTTTTCAAAATGTGGTTCTCGCCGAAGCGCCACGCACACTATTGAAAAAAACTTGCCAGAGTTTCCCAGATTCCTATGGTCAACGTATCAGACATGGTGTCCTGGAAGGACTAAAGATTGTGCGAGTGCAACAAATACGTTGATTCGCGGTGTTGACGTCCCAGGAATGTTGTTCTGGCACGATTCAGGAACGTCAAGACGCACCAGTCAAGTTGATCCGTGGCGTTGGAGTCCCGAGAACGGTATTTTGGGATGCGTCAGGGGCTTCAAACGGTTGTCTCCGAACGAGGCAGTTCCCTCAGTGGACATCAACCCTTGTGGACACCTATGAAGAGGGAGCTTGGAGGGAGAGTTCATTCCAACGTCATTAATGAATATTGGGTTTACACTGGTCCTCATCCTCTTCTTCCTCCTCCTTTTCCTCCTTCTCCTCCTCCTCCTCCTCCTCCTCCTCCTCCTGCGCATCTCCAAATTTCCGATTGCGCATGCGACCATGGGGTCCATTTTGAAACTCCAATCCAGGTCCGCTATGGCACGCGTCGGCTAAAAAAGAAAAAACTCAGCGCCATGGGAAGGGATGGGTTGGATGGGTGGGATGTCAGATATGGCGCCAGCGCACCTAGCTTGCCCCTCCCCCTCTCCTCTCTCTCTCTCTCTCTATTCCCTCTCCCTCCTCTCTCTCTCTCCCTTCCCTCTGCTCCCTCCTCACCCGACGCCGCCGAAACGCGCCAGTCTGCCACCTGCCCGGCGCCGGCCTGAGCTGTGCACCAAGGCTCCCGCCAAGCCAGCCCGAACGCATTTCAGCATCGTCCCTCACCTCCACTCCAGGACCTCCAAACACACGGCAACATCAAATCTGAGGTCTCTGTGCGTTGTCGGCCTTCGGAAGCCAGGTTCGATCGGGCCCTAGAGCTGTCGCGAGAAGTGCTCGGGAGCACACGCCCGTCCAGGGTGAGGAGGCCGAGGAGTCCGAGGCACCGAGGCTCGAGAAGCCGCCAGCCCTCCGGTGGACAACAGGCTACGTGGGCCAGTGTTCTGCACCCTGCAACAGGCAGGATCGAGGAGGAGGAGGAGGAGGAGGAGGAGGAGGAGGAGGAGAGGGAGGAGGAGGCGGCCTACTCGAGTTGATAAGCTCTACTTCGAGTTTCTTAAGAAGCGTCGGGGGGGGCGTCACCCCCGCCGACAGCCCCACATCGACCCCCGTCGCGAGCAGCCACCGCGCGCCGAAGGCGCTCCGACCCCCGTCGCGGCGCGACGGCGAGGCGAGGTTGACACCCGTCGGGGGGGTACCCCCCCACGCTCGGGGATGGACAGAACCCCCTTTAGCAAAACGTAGTTGAGTGAAAACGACCTCAGGCCCAACCTGCCGGGCGCAAGCCTGGAAAATGACGTCCGCGGTGCCCTCGAGAACCGAAAACGGACCACTCACCAATCGACGTGTCTTGTTGGGGCTCTGTCCACCCCCGACACGCTGAGCTTAGTCAGAAACCCAGAGTACACTGCACGTGTGCGAGCACCACCGGCGCCTCGTCGCGCAGCGAGAAGCTGCGGATGGGCGTCTGCGCAGGGTCAACGAAAAGGCCCGTTTGCGGAGGAGAGGCGGCGGCGCCCGCGCTGCCGCCAGAGCCGCTCGCCTCGCCGCGACCAGGGCCAGTGCCGGCTGGGCCGCCATGGCCCCTGTCAGAGGGAGGCGTGGCGGGGACCTGCACACGTGCCGCCGTGTTCCGTTCCTCCCCACTCCTGCGCACGAGGCTCCGCGCCACTGCTGTCGCCCGCCCGGATCTCGCCGCGTGTTCTTCCACAGCTCGGTGCAGGGAGCACCGCTCTGCCATGAAGGGTAGATAGACAGACAGGCAGGCACATTGACAGACAGATAGAAGAGGAGGAGGAGGAGGAGGAGGAGGAGGAGGAGGAGGAGAAGGAGGAGGGAGGAGGAGGAGGAGGAGGAGGAGGAGGAGGAGGAGGAGGAGGAGGGCAACGGCGACGGCGCGGACGAGACCGAGGATGAGGACGAGGACAAGGAGAACGACGACCAAAGGGGGAGAAAGAGGGGTGGGATGGAGAGGGGCAGGCAGGAGCGGGTGCAGGGCAGCGCCCTGGATACACTGATGCCCGCACTCTTCGGCTTCGTGCGTCCTTCTTGTGTTGTTGCCCGATGCTCCAGGATCTCCTCGATGCTCCTCGCCGAGGAAAAAATTCCCCACGCCCGAGCGATGCCGAGGGACTCTCTCCAGATGGTCCCCGGAGGCCGTCGCGGGACGAAACCGCATCCAACGTGGGGGGGGTGGCAGCGGGCGCGCCCCGAGCGGGAGCGGGCCCCCCCACAGAGAGGCCCGGGGGCCTTGTTCGCGTCCGCCTGCCAATAGTGCTCGGAGAGGTAGCCGTGTGTCCTACGGCGCCCCGTGCCCCCGTCCCCTCCCCCCACACTCCTCCGCCTTCACCCCTCGCCCTCCCCCCTCCTTTCCCGTCCACTCCCTCCTCTCTCCCCCCGTCCCCCCTCCCTCCCCTCACCCTCACCCCCATCACTCACTCCCGACCCCGTCCCTGACAGTTTCCTTCCTTCCCTCATCCCCCCGCCCCCCAATCCTCTCCATCCGCTCTTCCTCCGCCCTCACAACCACCATCACCGTATGCATCGTCATCATCAGCATCAGCAGCAATAGCATCATCATCAGCGTCACCATCGTCATCGTCATCCGCATCATACAGCATCATCGTCGTCAGCGGCGCAGTCGTCATCGGCATCGCCGTCACAATGAACATCGTAATCAGGAACAGCGGCACCATCGTCATCATAAGCAGTTTCACCATCCTAATCGTAATCGTCATCATCGTAAACATCTTCATTACCACCGCCGCCTCTAGCACCACAGCCATCGTTATCATAGTTGTCGTCACACAGATCCTCCACATCCTGCCCCCAGTCCTCTATGATATGTGTATTTTTGCAAGTGTGTCGTCCTCTCATCCGCCTCGCCCTCTGCCTCCTGCTCCGCCCCGTCCTCCAACTCGCGCTCATAGTCCTCCTCATTCTCCTCCTCCTCATCATCAGCATCAGCATCAGCATCAGCATCAGCATCAGCATCAGCATCAGCATCAGCATCATCAGCAGCAGCATCATCAGCATCATCAGCAGCAGCACCATCGCCATCACCAGCATCATCATCATCATCATCATCATCATCATCATCATCATCATCATCATCATCATCATCATCATCATCATCTTCATCATCAGCAGCAGCAGCAGCAGGATTAACATCATCAGCATCATCATCAGAATCAGCATCATCCTCATCATCAGCATCATCATCATCATCATCATCATCATCATCATCATCATCATCATCATCATCATCACCATCCGCATCCTCATCCTCATCAGCATCATCATCAGCAGCATCATCATCTCATCACCATCATCACCATCATCATCATCATCAGCAGCAGCATCATCACGAGCATCAGCATCACCAACGTCATTATCATCAGTAGCATCAGCATCAGCATCAGCATCAGCACCAGCATCAGCATCATCATCGTCAGCAGCGTTAGCATCAGCAGCATCGTCATCATCATCAACAGAATCATCAGCATCATATTTCATAGTATTAGTATCATCGTTACAATCATCATCAGCGTCAGCATCATCATCATCAAAACAATCACGATTATCAGCATCAGCAGCATCATCAGGATAATCAGCATCAGCATCATCAGCCTCATCAGCCTCATCCCCATCAGCATCAGCATAATCATCATCATCAACAGCCTCATCATCATCAGCATTAGCATGATCATCATCATTACCATCAGCAGCATCATCATCGTCATCATCATCATCATCATCATGAGCATCATCATCATCAATATCATCATCATAATCAGCATCGTCTAAATCATGATCCTCATACTCATTATCATCATCATCCTCTCATTCCTGGTCCTGAACCTCCTCCTGACCCTTGCTTCCTGTCCCAATTCTTCAATGTTCGTCCCCGGTCCTCCTCCCCCTCACCATCATCCTCATCCTCCCCGTCCTCCTACGCATCCTAGCACTGAATCCGCGGCCCCTGCACCAGACACGTTTTATGTATGGTGTCCACAAGCCCACCTCCTCCTCCTCCTCCTCCTCCTCCTCCTCCTCCTCCTCCTCCTCCTCCTCATCATCATCATCATCATCATCATCATCATCATCATCATCATCATCATTATCTTCCTCCTCCTCCATCTCCTCCTCCTCCTCCTCCTCCTCCTCCTGCTCCTTCTTCTCCTCCTCCTCCTCCTCCTCCTCCTCCTCCTCCTCCTCTTCCTCATCATCCTCCTATTGCCTGCTCCTCCCGCCCCCTCCTTCTCGCCCTCGTCCACGCAGCATCCTCATCCCCCTCCTGCCCCGTAACACTCCTCACCACCGCTGCACGTGTCCAGCGCGCAGCACCATCGTCGGAGGTCCCAGAACGACGTCCAACGACATCGACACCGTTCGCGTCGCGCCGTCGCGAGCCAAATCGATGCGGAAAAAGGGAGACATGGTAAGAAGGAGGAGGAGGAGGAGGAGGAGGAGAAGGAGCAAGAGGAAGAGGACGACAACGACGACGACGATGACGACGACGACGACGACGACGACGACGACGACGACGACGGCGACGACGGCGCGGCGGCGGCGACGACGACGAGAGACGGAGGAGAAGGAGGATCAGCAGCATCAAGGGGGGGAGAAGGATGAGGAGGAGGAGGAGGAGGAGGAGGAGGAGGAGGAGGAGGAGAGGGAGGAAGAGGAGGAGGAAGTGTAGAGGGGGAGGGGGGGCGGGAGGATTCGGGGGAAAAGAAAATGAATGAGGATGAGAAGAAGTAGCAGGAGGATGAGGAGGATGCGAAGGAGAGGATGAGGAGCGGGGGGGCGAGGATGACGAGGACCAGGGGGAGGAGGCGAGGAATGCTGGAGGACTGTAAAGGCTCGCCGTCAGCCTGAATTGGGCGGCCTGGCCTGCCGAGCCGCCCGCCTGAATTGGGCGGCCTGGCGAGGGCCTCCATCCGTGTTAGGCTCTGCAGGGGTGAGACGCTGTGGCACAGGCGGCGGACGAGGGGCACGGGGCGGGAGATGTTCTCGAACGGGCGCGCACAGATCGTGCATGCGTCGGCGCTCCCAGACTTCCCTGGAGGCGCCCGCACAAGTGTCCCACGCGAGCGTCAGAAGAGGGATCCGTGTTCGGGTGCCGCTGGCGAGGCGGGGTAGGCCGTACGCACGCGAGGTGCGTGGGGTGGGAGAGACGCCCAAGTCCCACCCCATGGCCACCTCGGCGGCCCCCGGTATCCCAGAAGGTGGCGTCCCTGACAGAGCCTCACGGGGGGAGCGGCTGGGTCTGTCAGAGCGACGGACCATAAAGATCTCGTGCAATATAGGGGGGCCATCGAACACTGCAGATGGCTCAGCTGCCGGAGGAGGAGGAGGAGGAAGAGAGGAGAGGAGGAGGAGGGAGGGAGGGAGGGAGGGAGGGGGAGGGAGGAGGGAGGAGGGAGGGGAGGAGGGAGGAGGAGGAGGAGGAGGAGGAGGAGAGGAGGAGGAGGAGGAGAGGAGGATGCATGGTGGGAGAGCTCTGCGGCCGAAGGTTTTACGTGGGCCATCCGCCCGACGACGGCGAGAGGGGGGCTCACTGCCGGAGGGGGGGCTCACTGCCGGAAACGTGGGGCTCGTCGGGGAGGGCGCAGAGCTCGGGCGGGGGCGATCCCGGATCGCCTCGTCCCCGGCACGGCACGGGGCCGTGCTTTTGGGGGGAGGGGGGGCGGCCCTCCAACCCGCCGTCTCGTGACCCCCAGCCCTTTCTATAAGGGGCCCCATGGTAGCTCCTGGGGGCAACGCTGCTATGCCCAGAGATACATTCCTCCTCCTCTTCCTCCTCCTCCTCCTCCTCCTCCTCCTCCTCCTCCTCCTCTTCCTCCTCCTTCCCTCCCTTCTTCCTCCTCCTCCTCCTCCTCCTCCTCCTCCTCCTCTTCCTCCCCCTCCTCGAGTCAAAAGACAGCAGGGGACTGACAGGCGACGTGGCGATGGTACAGACCGATTGTGCTCGCCAGCTGGCGGGAGCCCGTGGCTCCCGGTGCGGTTCCGCGGGGTGCCCGAGGATACCGCATGCGCCTAGCTCCAGGCAGCACAACAGAAGCAGAGCGCAGCAAGCAAAGAAAGCTGTCCCATTGTGGCTCACACACAGCGGTCCGTGGCAAGCTCGACACCCCATATCAGACCAGACGGACTGGGCACGATAGCGCTCGCCACATGTCTTGTAGCCCACCGTCGATGATGCTGATGGCGGATACTTCCACCATAACTTGCAACTGCCTGCTTGCTGTAGGCCTGGTGTTCACAGCCAGCACATGCATGCAGGAAGTGCGCAGCTGACGGCTGGGCTGATACATCCGCGGGCACACCTGCTTAACACGACTGCTCCGTAAATGCGTGAGAAGAAGGGGGAAGAAGAGGAACAGGCAAGGAAGAGGAGGAGGAGGAGGAGGAGGAGCAAAGAGAGGAGGACGAGAAGGAGGAGGAGGAGGAGGAGGAGGAGGAGGAGGAGGAGGGGGAGGAGGAGGAGGAGGAGGAGGAGGAGGGGAGGGGAGGAGGAGGAGGAGCAGGGGACTCGGGGGAGTGGAAGGAGGCGAAGGGAAGGGATACTTGCTTGACATCAACCGCCATCACCCAGGAGGCGAAGGAGGCGGAGGAGGAGGAGGAACAGGAGAGCAGGGAGAGGGGCGGGGGAAAAAGAAAGTAAAATCGGAGGAGGAGGAGGAGGAGGAGGAGGAGGAGGAGGAGGAGGAGGAGGAGGAGGAGGAGGAGGAGGAGGAGGAGGGGGGGGGGGCACGAGGGTGAGGAGGAGGAAGGGGATTTAGGACGACGACGACAACGACGACGACGACGACAAGAACAAGGACGACGACGAAGGCGAGGACAACGAGGACGAGGACCAGGACGACGACAACGAGGACGAAGACGACGAGGACGACGGCGTTGAGGACGAGGACGAGGAGGACGAGGGCGACGAGGACGAGGACGACGAAGACGACAAGGACGACGGCGTTGAGAAAGTGGACGACGACGACGACGACGACGACGACGACGACGACGACGACGACGACGACGACACGACGGCGAGGAGGGCGGCGGGATCTTTTTGTAGTCCCAGCCCTGGCCCCAGAACGCCATGCCAGCGCCGTCCAGGACGAGCAGGTTGGGGCACTGGCAGTCGCCGTCGCCTCGTGCGCGCAGGCAAGGGGTCCCACGAAGGTAGGAGGCCTCCTCCTCCTCCTTTGTATACGATTCGGCCTTGGGCAGTGTGGCCGTGGCGTCAGACCTCCTCCTCCTCCTCCTCCTCCTCCTCCTCCTCCTCCTCCTCTTCCTGCTCCTCCTCCTCCTCCTCCTCCTCCTCCTCCTCCTCCTCCTCCTCTCCTCCTCCTCCTCCTCCTCCTCCCTCCTCCTCCTCCTCCCCTCATTATTATTTCCCTCCTCTCCTCCCCATCCTCCCAAATTCTCCCCCCCTTGCTCCGCCATCTCCTCCCCCATCCCTCCTCATCCTCCTCCTTCCTCCTCCTCCTCTCCCCTCCTCCTCCTCCTCCTCCTCCTCCTCCCTCCTCCACCTCCTCCCAGGTGCGCTGGCAGCTTCTGAGATGGCGGCCACGGCGGCGACGGCACTATCGCGACGGTTCCGTTCGACCATGGGTCGTGGCCAAGAGGTGGATGACTCACCTTACGGCTGTTCGTCAGCGGCTGCAGGAGCAGCTCGGCGGCCTGAACTTGGCGGCGGCCATGTGTGACCTGATGCCCTGCCAGTGCTTTGGCGTCCTGCGGGAATTGGAGGAGGCCCACCGCTACTTGGTGAAGGTCTCGAGGCAGCGGGCGGTCCTGGCCGCCATCGACCCGACGGTGGCCAAGTACTTGCAGAGGGGCCTCATGCTGCTGGTCTCGCCGCACTTCGACTACTGCGTCGACCTGGTGGTGCGCGTGGCGGACCAGAAACTAAGCGACGCCCAGGCCGCTTCGGAGGCGGCGTGGCGCGGCTGGCTGCAAGAGGCCTTCCTTCGGGGGGCGCGGGGGGCCCACCGTGCCTCCAAGATCGTCCCCATGCAGCCCCTGCTGCAGCTGGAGGGCGAGGTGCAGCCTTATGTGGTGGCCGACGCGGCGCTCCAGGAGTGGGAGGACGTCTGGTCCCACCACGGCGCGGCGTGGCTGCCCAAGCCTGCTGACTTCGACCAGTGGGAGCTGCTGCCGCCGATCACCGTCCAGGACATGCGGGCGGCGATTTGGAGCTACCCGGCCACCACCGCCCGGGGGCCTACTCGCCTGGCGCCCAAGTCTCTCTACTTTGTGTCGGACGAGGGGCTGCGGGCGATCGCGAGGCTCCTGGAAGCCTGCGAGCGGTTGGGCATGTGGCCCGACGGGCGCGTGGAGTCGGAGCTCGTGCAGATGAGCAAGGCGGACGGGGGCAAGCGCCTCATTGCCTTACTCCACACCCTGACGCGCTTGTGGGGGAAGCTGCGCCGTCCCCTGGGGAAGCGGTGGGAGGAGACCCATGCTGCCCCCTGGGTCTGGGGCAATCGCTCCCGCTTCACATCCAGCGATTCGGCATTCGACCTGAACCTGGAGCAGGAGGTGGCCACCCTGTTGGACGAGCAAAGCGGCACCTGGGTCAGTGACATGGCCAAGTGCTTCGAGCTGGTGGACAGCAGCCAGCTTCTTTTGGAGGCCCGGGAATGCAATTTTCCCTTGCGGCTCGTGTGGATGATGATTGACCTCTACCACCAGCCTCGTAGGGTTCGGGTGGGGCCCAGCCTGTCGCTGGCCATGCTGGTCTTCCAGGGCGTGCTGGCGGGGTGCACTCACGCTCCCACGGCGCTCCTGGTCCTGACCCACCGCACGATGGCGAGGCTCAGCAAGATGTGCCCCAACGCGCGGCCCAGGCAGTTGATGGACGACATCACCCTGCACTACGTGGGGCCCCGCGAGGCAGAGGCCAGCCAGCTCGAGGTCGCCGCCGTCGGGCTGACGCGTTGCGTGCGAGGCCTCGGCATGCGGGTCAAGCGGGCCAAGTCTGGCTCGGTTTTCAACCGCGCGTGCTTTGCGCACCGCTTCCGCGCGCGGGCCGTGCAGATCGGCCTGCGCCCGAGGCGGGCGATGCGCAACCTCGGACACGAGCACCACGGGCCGAGGGTGTTCCGGCGGCAGGAGGCGGCGCGCGTGGCGGCCCTCGTCGCGAGGGGCCGCCGAGTGGCCATGCTGTCCCGCAGAGCGGGGCGCAAGGCGGCGCAGCTGTGGCGCACTGGGCTGGCCCCGTCGGTCGCCCACGGCGCGGGCGTCAGCGGCATGGCGGATCATCGGCTTCGCCACCTCCGGCGCGCTGCGGCCACCCTGAATGGGTGGAGGCATGGCTCTGGGTGCACGGCCTACTTGCTGACGCATCCCAGCCCGCGCTTCGACCCGATCTACGACGTCTCGGTGCCGTTGATCCTCCGGTACGCGGGCTGGCTGTGGGACGGCCGCACGTCCGGCGCCAGGCTGCAGAAGGCTTGGGGCGCGGCCCACGCCAAGATCGAGGGCACCACCTTCGGCACGGCGCGTGGGCCGCTCACGTCCACATGGCTGTCGCTGCGGAGGCTAGGTTGGGAGATGCTCTCTTCGGCCCACGTGAGGTCCGACACGGGCGAGGTCTTTTCGCTCCTGCGCGTGCCGCCAGAGGACCTTCGCCACCATTTGATGAGGTCCATCGAGCGGTGGCAGGCGCAGAGGCTGCTGGGGCGCACGCACCTGGCCTCGGGCGACGAGCAGGTGTGGGTCCGAGGCATTCGCCTCGGCTTGCGCGCGCTTCCGCCGAGGCAGCTGGGCGCGCTGCAGATGCTGTGGTCTGGCCGCTACTTCACTCCTGAGCGGCGGGCAGCTGTGGAAGGCTATGGCAAGCTGCATTGCCGTGCGTGCGGCGCCGAGTACGGCAACTACGGGCACATCTGGCTGGGCTGCCCGAAGCTGCTGGATGCGCCGCCGGGGAGCTCCCTCCCTCCGCTGCCCGAGGCCTTCGAAGCCACTAGAGCCATGTTGGCGGAGATCGGCTCGATGTGCCACTTCGACGACCTGGAGTGCGGGTACGGCCTCCCGAGCGTGCCGCACGCGTTCGCGGTGAAGGCCGCGGAGAACGCGCTCCCGACGTTCTTCTGGGGCGACGCCGAGCCTGCTTCGTGGGGCCCTGAGTCGTGCACAGATGGCTCGGGCTTCGAGTCGGCGCAGCCCGAGTTGACGCGCTGCGGTTGGTCCGCAGTTCAGATTGATGAACACTTGTTGCCTGCCCGGGCCATGTACGGCCCTCTCCCGGGCATCCAGACTGTAGGCAGAGCTGAGAGATGGGCTGTGCTTCGTCTTGTCCAGCACGCGTCTGCCACGCGGCACATCGTGAGTGATTTGTTGAGTTTGGTGTCTGAGGGCGAGTCTTGGGACCCCGCCCTTGAGAGCTCCAGAGGCAAGCATGCTCGGATTTGGAGGCTCATTTTCGGGGCGGTTGGTTCCAGAGCGCCCCCTAGGTTTAGCTGGACCCCAGCCCACAAGAGCCCCGAGGAGGCCCTCTCTCTTGAGATCCCTCTCAGGTGGTGGGTGGGGAATATGTGGGCCGACTGGTTTGCCAAGCTCGGGGCGTCAGCGCATGCTGTGTCGTCGGTGCACGCTGAGTACCTCTCGTCGGAGCTCCAGCGTGCCAAGGCGATCCTGAAGTATGTCTCTTGGGCGGCCAGCCGAGCGGTCGAGCTCGACCTTTGGCACGACCCGCCCGAGGCCGTCCCCAGGCGTCCTTGTACAGGTGGGCCGCCAGTTCTCAGGCTAATGTCGCACTCCCTCGTTCGTGTCGAGCCCTCAATGGAGGTCCGGTGCCGCAAGTGTATGTGCGTTGCCCGCACAAGCGGGCACCTTGCCCACCTTGTGAATGATGAATGTAAGCCTCTGCCCACCCAAGCGTGGGCCGCGAGGTGTTTTTTCTCGAAGCCAGGTCTGGTGGTTCGCGATTTCAGGGGTCCTGTTACGGGTCCGTGCGTGTCCGAGGCCCTGGCGGCAGCTGAGGAGGTCCTGGGGCCCGTGCCTGCGCCGCCAGGGGAGCCACCAGATGGGCTCGAGGCCTTCAGGGAGCAAAATCACATTTTAGTCACCCACGGTGCCATGGTTTGCTGCACCCAGTGTGGGGCCTCGGCGTCGGGGGAGGAGGGGTGGAGCGGTCGTTCGAATCTGAATTCGAAGTGTGCGGGGCCGTCTTCCAATCCTGCCACCAGGGCCAACCAAAAGCGGAAGGCCGACATGGTGCAGCGTGGCCGCCACCCCAAGACAGGGGCCCCGTTGTGAATGCAAATCTTTAAGATTTCGGTGTACCGGTCCATCCGTGCTGGTTTCGGTGTACCGGTCCATCCGTGCATTCTGGCTGTAACGACGCTACAGGGCGGCTGAGGGGCAGAGAGGCTGCACTCTTCACACCCGTTGCCCCCACTGGCCTGAACTCGTTCATCTTGAGGCATCGCCTCCCCCTCCCGCCTTAAGTGGCTAGGGGTTCCATGTTTCCAGGGTTTTTTCGGTTTCTCGGAGAACTCCTGCTGGCTGCTCGCCCTCCTCCACCTCCTCCACCTTCTGCCCTTCCTCGTTCTCTTCATCTCCCATCTGCACCTCGGCTCCCTGACTCCAGGCCACGCATACCGGCCCCGAAGAGACCCCGCCACAGCACCAGGATGGCCCCAAAGCAATCCCCCTCCTAATCACCATCCCCGTACAAGAGCAAAGGCACGCGTGCCGCTTCCACGACGCTCGCCTTCTACAAGCATGACTGCAGAATCGTTGCCTGCGATGGTGGGGACCATGGGATCCCCCCGCCCATTCCCTCCCCTCTGGCACCCGCCTCCCGCCAGAGCTTCGGGGCAACCCAGCGAGGCAGCGCAACTGGGCTCACCATTCGAACAGGGCACGAGCTAAACAGTGTTTTCCGTTTTCGTTTTGTCCTCGTTTTCCCTCGGTCTGCCCTTGCTCAGCCACGGCATCGCCAAAACACAGTTTAGCTCGCGCCCTGCGTTCGAATACCCTCACCCCCCTCCACCCACCCCCACCCCCTTCCCGAAGCACTGCCCCTTCCCCTCACCCCCTTCTCCCTCTCCTCCCCGCTCCTACCTCCCCCACGCCAGTTCCCGCAGCCTGCGCTCTCTCACGACGACGACGACGACGACGACGACGACGACCTCCGAAAGCCTCCGAAGGCCTCTGGGGGGCCTCCCTCCAAGGACGTCCGACGGCATCCGAGGGCTTCCGAAGACCTCCCAGCGCCTCCATGGGCCTCTGAGCGCATCCGAGGGCCTCCGTGGGCTCTCAAGGCTCCATACCCCTGCCCGCCCCCACCCTCGCCCGTCCCACCCCTGCACCAATCGCGGCCCAACGCGGTCGACCTGGCCACATGTGGTAGACCTGGCCATCGCTGCTAGTCGGGCGCACGCCAACCTGGACTATGAATCCGTGGGGAGCGTGCGAGCCAGATCCACTGATCGGGGAAGAGTCCTTCCGAAACATGAGGCCAATGCCGCCTCGGTCGGCGGCGGAGCGAGCCGACTTCATGCGGAAACGGGACCCATCGCTAATCCACGCGCCTAAATGCATGTTCCCGTTGCCTCGATGACACGATGCCCCTCCAAGCCTTCGTCGCGGCAGTCCCCACCCCAACCCCCCAAACAAAAGAGGCGCGCGCTGAACAGGGACGTTGGCCGACGAGGCCTCTCGGCGGGTCGGACACCAGGTCCACCGACAGGTTGGCCACGGGGCACCTCCTCGGGGCACAGTTGGTCGGCTACGGTCGGGGCTGACTGTGGATGGCACCCGACCGAAGGCCCAAGCCGATTCAAAAAATACGGCGGGGGTTCCTCCCCGAGTTACGCTTTTTGAGCCCCCACCGTCAACCAGGTACTCGGGATGAAACAACGATCCTGCAGACAGGGTCAAGACTTCGGGGGCCCGGAGGTGTGTCTTTCATTTATTCATGTATAATTAAATATGCACCTCAATATATATATAGAGAGAGAGGAATTTTTTTAAGACAAAAATAAGTGGGCACGTGCGTACAAACATGCGTGTGCGTATATATATATATATATATATGTATATGTGTATGTATGTGTGTGCATATACACTATACATATCTCAAATACATACATGCATGCATACATGCACGCATACATACATATATACGTACAGACATACATACAACATTATATGCATACGTGCATGCATACATGCATACATACATGCATACATACATGCCTGCATACATGCATGCATACAGGCATACATGCATACAGACAGACAGGCAGACAGACAGGTATACATACATACATACATACATACATACATACATACATACATACATACATACATACGTAAATACGTAAATACATACGTACGTACATACATACATACATACATGCATACATACATACTTACATACATACAAACATATATACACACACATGCATTAATGCATGCATACATACATACGCACAGCACTGCATGCACATACATAGTTGCATACATGTACACACACACATGAACACATACGCACATTTATATGTGCATATAAGTATGCATACATACATACAAACATACAAACCAACAAACATAAAGTCGCACACACATACATACATGCATACATACATACATACATACGTACATACATACATACATACATACATACATACATACATGCATGCATATTTACGTACATACATACATACGTACACACCTACATACACACATTCAGACCGATATACACACATGCGAATATATATATATATATATATATATATGCAACGCAAATACAAAAATGTGCATAAAGATATACGGAAAATCCAAACACCCACATCGCAACGACCTGCCCCTAGTATATACATGAGGCGGCTATATACAGGACCACCCGCGTTGAAAGAAAAACACGTCGAAGGAGCTGCATTACCCTGAAAGCTTCGCCAGATAACGCTGAAGCGCACTAAACGTTCAGCAAGTACGCACGCAGTACTGCGACTCAGATGGCGAAGAAGAGGACGACGATGAGCAAACCACGGATTATAAGGACGGCCGTAGATGAGTTACCGACTTCCGTGGGCGCTTGGCATGAAGGGGGCCAGACGGACCACGGACAGGTCCGACGGACCACCGCTGTGAGTTGCCTAAATCAGATTCCGCACATCGGTGACCGAGGTTAGCCTGCTGCGTGTGAGTGTGTGTGTGTTTGTTTGCGTGTGTGAATATGTGCTAACGCGCGCAACAAAGAGACATTCCAAACACAGCCCCAGATTGAGTCGCAGCTGACAGCACCCAGGAGAGCGCGAGGTCTCGTCTCGGAGCGCGCAGCGCGCAGCCCTGCTGGACATCCCAAGAAGTCACGAGACTGGCGATAGAAGGAAGGAGAAGGCGGGAGGAGGGAGGCGGAGAAGGAGCAAAAAAAGGACGAGGGGAGAAGGAGGAGAGATACAGGGAACGGATGGAGAGACGATGGGGAGCAGCGGTTGGAGGAGGAACGAAGAGGAGAAATGGTAGCAGGTCACAACACGTGAATTGCAGCCCGCCGAATGGACTAGCGCCAATGGCGACGACTTTCTGTGGGTACTCGCTTTCAAGAAAAAACCCGGGTTGGGTGCCCAGAACATTTAAGCTGATCCTCGTCGGTCGACTGCTGAATCAGTTCGTACGGTCTGCTGACACAAGCGCAGTTACACCTCCACGGTCGGGGCGTCCGCAATCGCCGCGTAGCCGATAGCACAGCTAGAATTCGAGTGTCGCGCCACCCAGATTGGGGTCCAAACTAAGGTGGCCGCCTTCCGGAGCGACTCAGCGGCCCTCCAGCATGGGCCTCATCCTCCCACCCGGCAGAGCGACGCCGATTCTTCCCGTCCAAACACCCTCTCCTCACCCGCCCACACTCCATGGCGGAGGAAGGGAGGAGAAGGCCCACACGCTGTTCCGACGAAATGGCGCAGGCTGATCAGTCCCGCAACGGACTCCGAAGACGCTGGCGGAGAGAGTGACCCGCAGAAGGCCAACGCAACCCCAAAGCCGCGGTCGCAGAAACCTGCCGCTACCAAGCTCTCGGCCCTGTCGGGCTCTCGACCCCTACCATCAGGAGCAGAGGAGCCCCCCAAACCCTCCCCGCCCCCCGTCCTCCCCCGCAGCCATTCGGCTCACAGCACCATGCACTCGCCAGTTAGTGGCACAAGGTAACACATCAGCATGGAACCCCATCACGCTCTGAATCCGCGCTGCAAACGATACGCTGCACGGGTGGCAATACACTCCTGGCCTGACACTCCGACTGGACTTCCTGGCAAAATGCGGGGCGTCTCCAGAGTCCTTAACTCAGTGGGTGGACGGCGCGTAGCTCGACGTACCAGGGGTCCAACCCAAGCAGGCGAGAAATCGCCTGCCGCATCTGAAACACCAGCCACGGGGCGAACGGAAGTTCGCCCACCTTGCAAAGCTTGGCAAGGTGCATCCCGATCAGCCTGACCAACCCATGCCGACGGGCTTGGACGTGAGTCCGCGCGCGTTCCTCCTGAACCCGTGGGAGGGTGCTTCGGACGATCCTCCAGACGAGCAGCGGTTCAACGCGCGCCTCGCCTTTGATCTGCGCGCGGGGCCCGACGCAGCACCTCGGAAGACGAGGTGCAAAGTCTCACGACCACGCCGTGGACTGCCGCACTGGCTCGCCAAGACTCTCTGTTGAACTGGAGGGTGGTCGAAGTCGACGCTCTGCTCCACGGCGCCCACCGCCCCGGCACGCAGTGGCTCGGAAAGTACACCTGTCCCCCGCTCGGCCTCAGAAATGCCCCTGGCTTCGGCGATGCCACTGTCAGAAAAGGTCCTGCGACTACTCCAAGAGCGAAGGACTGATCTCCGGCACGGCCACCTCGAGGTCCAAGGCGCGGCGCCAGGTGCCCGCCGCAGTTGAATTCCTGGCGTCTTGCGGCATACCCGTCAGCACGACGCCTTCGTGCGCGAAAAGGCCACGCCAACCGCCCGACGTGAATCGGCAGGATCTTTGACGCGGCTAACGCCGCAGTCACAGTCACGCAGAAGAAGTGCGACAAATGCGCTCGCATCTGCTAAGAGGTGTTCGCTGCAAAACCTGGCCGTTCCCTGCGTAGTCGCCCACTCGCCTCAGCCGCGGGGATCGACTGCCATCTGGCGGAGTGGCTACCGCAAGCCCAGCGTAAGGTACACCCGATTTGGACAGACCTGAATTCTGCAGGGGTCTACGCAGCGTGGCAAAATTCCCATCGCGCGGGCCAGCCAGCGCGCCTGTCCGACAACAGCAAGCAGGCACTGGCGTGGTCGACGCGCAGTTTCGCCGCGCCTCCCTGCTGACATCTGTTCTGCGAGGGGGGCGTCTGGTCCTCGTGGGGGCACAAATCCCGCGAGTTCGCCAACTGGCGCGCGCTCGGCAAGTGGCCCGGCGATCCCGCAACTCAGGAGCAATGCTGCAAAAGACTGCAGGCGGCAGCCGGGTATTTGCGACGGGAGGGAGCCTTCCTCCGAGGCGGGAGAATTGTCTTCAGAACGGGCAACACTTGCGCCATGCATTCCAAAATTAGACACGCCTGCCGCACTTGGAAAACTTGAGTCAATACTTCGAAAACGCCGCACGCAGGTCGGGCCGTTGGGCGATCGCTTAACTCCTCCTTGGCCGCTCCAGCGCGGTGGCTGACAGGGGTTCTCGGGAGTCGAGTTTTGGAGCCGCCTGGACTGAAGATCCATTTTAAAGTGCGGTCCTGCGTGGTTAGGACGCAACGTCACTTGCACACTGGACCTCTCTGCCGACACGCGCGGGCTGTCCGCTCTAGCCGCAGAACGGCGATGCCCAGAGCTGACGACTATAACCAGCAGCCTCGCGAACCACGTCGTCTGGGCCCACCCGCCACGGGCGCTAGCCTAAGCATGCCTGGATATATCACGTCCACCTAGAAGACGTGTCCGACCCTCAAATCTATATATATATATACATACATACATACATACATACATACATACATACATACATACATACATACAGACAGACATACAAAAAAAAAAAAAAAAAAAAAAACTGCTGCCAGACGGCGCAGGAGCTCCATGTCTCCGCGCGGGCGCGCAATCCTCTTGAGACTGGGTCCGCTCCTGGGACCCCCATTCGAACATCTGCAGGTGGCTCTCCTCAGCGGGTCAGCTACGGCGCTGGCCCCGCAAGGACCTCTGCTACTCGGTCTTGGCCAGCTGAAAACCAGCCAGAAGAGGCCGATAAATGCTCAGACATCAGTCGCTCCGCGCGCGATCCAAAAACACACACACACACACAAACACACACACACACACACACACACACACACACACACTTTTAAATCGGTGGCGCCGAGGATCCTCGGGCGCGGACGGCAGAGGAAATGCCAATTGCGATCGAGCACTGTCGAAGGCGCAGTGCACAAACCGTGCACCCTGTCAAATGCCGCGATGGGTGGTGTGAAGGGAAACAGTGAATCCAAGCGACCCTGCAGCGGCCAGAAAACCGAGGACACACACACACACACTTTTGTGACGTCACGGCCCCGCGCGCAGCGAATGGGCCGCGGCCACGTCGGAGTAGGGAACGCGCGCGCGATTGACGAATACACACACAAACCCACGCACACACATACATACACATACGCGCGCGCTCGCACGCAATTTTGGCCTCCACGAGTACTCTGGAAACCCATTTTCCCCCCCCCCTCCTGCCCCCCTCGTCCTGCCCCACCCTCGCCTTGGCATCGGGCCCTGACTCGATGGGGGCCCTCTCAGACGATGACCGTTGGCGGGAAAGTAAAAGGCTGGAAGAAGCGCACCCAGCGCAATGTGATATCTGGAGTCCGGAGAGGGAGGGAAAGGCATCGGGAGGCAGACGGGAGGATCACAACAGCCCTATCCATAACGAGGGCTCAAACACTCAAAAACAACGAACCACCCAGGGAGTCAAGAGCGAAGGGGCGCAACAACGCCACTCGAGACAAGGGCCCAACCAATGCAGAGACAGCGGCCCATCCAGCAAGGCAACCGTTCTGCGTGGACGCGCGCCGGCCCGCTCCCCCACGCACACCTCGGCTCCACACACTTCCGACGACAGCGTCTCAAACACTGACTGCGGAAGCAATCGTGGCCGAGCCGCAGCCCGGGGGCGCAGGTTGCAGTTCCGCCATCGGACGAGCTGGAGCGGCTCAAAACCGCGACCCTCCCAGGCGGGGCCGGCCGCGAACCTGCCGAGGAGTCCTCCCTCCTCCTCCTCCTCCTCCTCCTCCTCCTCCTCCTCCTCCTCCTCCTCCTCCTCCTCCTCTCCTCCTCCTCCTCCTCCTCCTCCTCTCCTCCTCCTCCTCCTCCTCCTCCTCCTCCCTCCTCCCTCCTCCTCCTCCTCCTCTCCTCCTCCTCCTCCTCCTCCTCCTCCTCCTCCCTCCTCCTCCTCCTCCTCACTCCTCCTCCTCCTCCTCCTCCTCCTCTCCTCCTCCTCCCCTCCTCCTCCTCCTCCTCCTCCTCCTCCTCCTCCTCCTCCCTCTCCTCCTCCTCCTCCTCCTCCTCCTCCTCCTCCTCGTCGGCCACGAGGCTTTCACCAACAAAGTGCACCAGGGCGGCCGACGAGGAGCACCCTGGGCGGCCCGTCGTTCGGCACCTCACGGTGTCGCAGTGGAAAGCGACGTGTGGGAGGCGCTCACCGTCGACCCGGACGGCGTCAAGCCGTCGGGGGACCCGGAAAACCCGCAGCCACCCCGCGGGAGAGTCGGGTGCGGCACACCCAGGTAACAAAGAACTGGAGGCCTGAAAGAACCGCTTCTCGATGCAGCACGCGGAGCGCACGAAAGGAAGGGAGTCGTGCCTCTCGGAGCGGGGCAGGTCCAGCGAGGAATTCAGGCACCTCGGAGAGCGAGCCGAAGCCAGCAGGGACCAGAACGTCCGCGCCCTCTGCCGCTGCGCCCTACCCTACCACCTCACGGAGAAGAGGCACACCGCGGCCCTGCCTGGCGCCAAGGCCAACGCAACCCAAGCCGAGGCCCAGCGGACGACTGTCAGTGGGTCTACCACGCCAGCAGGGCCAATCAAAGACACGCTCTCGAATCGAAGGCGGCACGGGCCTTCGACCACGAGGTCCTCTTTAAGGACTTCGGCCGGGACCCGGCGTTCGGAGAGGCCGCGCTCCTGACTGGGGCCGCTGGCCCTAGCCGAGCGAGCGATTCAGAGCGGCGGGGCGCCGACTCGCCGCAGCCGCCGACTCGCCGCAGCGTGCTTCCAAGATACGACGCCCGAGCGACGCATCGGGGTCCGACCGAGCTCCTCCCTCCTCCCTCCTCCCTCCTCCCTCCTCCTCCTCCTCCTCCTCCGCCTCCTCCTACTCCTCCTCCTCCTCCTCCTCCTCCTCCTCCTCCTCCTCCTCCTCCTCCTCCTCTGAACCCGCGGGCCGCTGCCAGAGCGGCGCGGCGGGGTCCGATCTCCGCGCGACCCCTGGCAGAGGGCTGCTAACCACGGGCCCAACGTTCTGGCGGCAGGCCCCCTGGCGGGCCCTCCCCCCGGCAGCTCCAGGGGCGCCGCCGGCCCCGGATCGCAGGAGCTGGCGCGACATTTGAGAGCTGGCCTTGCTGCTGCCGCGCTGGGAAAACCAGTGCAGTTTTTCCAGAAGTGGATCGACGAGCGCTTCAAGGAGCACGGTTTCCAACAGGCCGCCTTCCAGGTCAGCAGGGAGGCACGCAAAACTGCCTCTACAGCGGCACATGCGTCTTGGAGCCGACTGTTCAATAGTACCGAGGCACTTTGAAGAACCAGTGCGTCCTCCCGTGTCCGCGGCGCGTAGCCGCGGGCAGGCCGACGGAAAACGCGCGCCACTGGACCCAGGATTGCGACTACAACTGAGCGGTAAACCCGCCGCAGCAAAGGGGCAGGGAAAACAAAAAACGGACAGCACACATCATGCGAATCTATTACGCATAAATAACTTATGGATGGAGTTCCCGGCCCCCCTGCATGCCGTTTTGGCCACCTGCCCTGAAGTGATTGTTCAGCAGGTTGTCCAGACAGCATCGCGGCGCATCTAGCAGCGGACTCACGGCGACAACCAAGGCCCGGAAAACGGAACGAACACCACGAGAGCTTCCATATACAACGCACGAGAAAGTCTAGGGCACGTTTCGCGGCCCCGAACGCCCCACGCGCGCCGTCTGCAATGTCAAATTGGTCAACAAGCCCTCGAAGGCGCCGGGCGTTCCCGCCGCTACAGCAGCGGGCACTCCCGCAGTCTTCCGCGGGCTCCAGGAAATGCCCCTTCCCCCGATCCCCCTCCCCCTCGCTCTCCTCCTCCTCCTCCTCCTTCTCCTCCACCTCCGCCTCTTCCTCCTCCTCCTCCTCCTCCTCCTCCTCCTCCTCCTCCTCCTCCTCCCCCTCCTCCTCCTCCTTCTCCTCCTCCGCATCCTCCTCCTCTTCCTCCTCCATCTCCTGCACCAAGCGGGGTGGCACAGCCAACTCGGACCAATGGAAATCACGCGCGCGAGAGGTGAAGTGAAGTGAAGTGAAGTGGAGTGAGGTGAAGTGATGTGAAATATAATATGAAATGAGGTGAGACGGGACGAGGTGAGATGGAGTGAGATGATGCGAGGTGTAGTGCAGTGAGGTGAAGTAAAAGGAAAGAGTGAGATTAGGCGATATGAAAGGGGGTGAACTGAAGTGGGGTGAGATGAATTGAGGTGTAGTGAAAAGAAGTGTTGTGACGTGAGGTGAGGCAAGGTGAAGTGAAGCGAAGTAAGGTGATGTGAGGTGAGTTGAACGGAAGTGAAGTGAGGCGGCATGAAATTCCTGTCAGGGTATCCCGTCAGAGGCAACACCCTGCGCAAGACCCTCGGGAGTCGAAGTGCGTCGTCCCCGCACTGCGCCAGCCAGACGACGGGGAACGGGTTCCAAGAGGCCTCGGGAGCAAACCTGGGGCACCCATGGCCTGCGGGACTGCTAAAAAAACAAAACCAGGAGTCCCGCAACTCCTCCGACTTCGCGCTCTGTTCACGACGCCGACCCCCGGATCCCTCGACGCCATCCCTGGAACCAACATCTCGTCGCGGATCGCCCTTCCAGTCCTGCAGAAGGAGGAGGAGGAGGAGGAGGAGGAGGAGGAAGCGGATGAGGAGGAGGCGCTGCGGTCTAAGGCTGTCTGACAACTGGTAAATCCACACATCACCAGGGCGAGGGGTGGGCGAGGAGGAGGAGGAGGAGGAGGGGGAGGAGGAGGAATAGGTAGAAGTGGAAGGAGTCAGGGAGGAGGGAGGAGGAGGAGGAGGAGGAGGAGGAGGAGCGAGGAGGGAGGGAAGAGAAAGAGGAAGAAGGGGGAGGAGGGAGGAGGGAGGAGGGAGGGAGCAAGAGAGGGTGCAAGAGGAGCAGGAGGAGCAGGGGGAGGAGCAGAAGCAGGAGCTGGAGGAAGGATGGAAGGGAAGAGGGGCAGAAAGGCCGGGGGCAGGCGGTCCGGACGTTGGCCCACTTCTCCTCTGGGCCGCAGAAGCCCTTGCCGCCAAAGGACTTGCAGGGCTTCTCGCAGGATGCCTCGTACCGGTAGGCCGTGCCACCGCAAACGGCCTGAACCACGGGCGCCTCGTCCTCCCCCTCAGCCCCCTCCTCCACTTCCTCCTCCATGTGATAGCGTCATCATTGAAAAAAACACTCATCGGAGATGTCACCATCATGCTCAACTTAATCATCAACATACTCAGCAGCAGCCGCAGCACCACATCATCATCATCATCATCATCATCATCATCATCATCATCATCATCATAATCATCATCATCATCATCATCATCATCATCATCATCATCATCATCATCATCATCATCCTCATCATCATCATCATCAGCATCATCATCATCAGCATCAGCATCAGCATCAGCATCAGCATCATCATCATCATCATCATCATCATCATCATAATCATCATCATCAACATCATCAGCAGCATCACCAGCACAGCCACCACCACCACCACGACCACCACCACCACCACCACCATCATCATCATCATCATCATCATCATCACCATCATCATCTTCATCATCATCGTCATCGAAACATCATTATTATCATAATCAGCAGCATCATCATCATCATCGTCACCTTCATCGTCATCATCATCATCACCATCATCATCATCAGCATCATCATCGTCGTCACCATCCTCATCATCATCCTGATCCTCCCAATCATCATTACCATCGTCATCATCATCATCATCAGCATCATCAGCATCATCATCATCATCATCACCAGCATCATCGTCATCGTCATGGTCATCATCATCGTTGTCATCATCACCATAGCCATCATCATCATCAAAATCATCGTCATCATCATCATCACCATCATCATGGTCATCATCATCAGCATCACCAGCACAGCAACCAACACCACCACCACAATCACCATCATCATCATCATCTTCTTCTTCTTCTTCATCATCATCGTCATCTTTATGAACATCATCATCATCATCATCATCATCGTCATCTTCATCGTCATCATCATCATCATCATCATCACGATCATCATCATCATCAGCATCATCATCGTCGTCACCATCCTCATCATCCTGACCCTCTTCATCATCATTACCATCGTCATCATCATCATCATCGTCATCGTCATCGTCATCGTCATCGTCGTCATCATCACCATCGCCATCATCATCATTACCATCATCATCGAAATCATCGTCATCATGATCATCATCATCATCATCATCATCATCATCATCATCATCATCATCATCATCATCGTCATCAAAATCATCATCATCAGTATCATCATCAGCATCAGCATCATCATGATCAGCAGCATCCTCGTCATCATTTTCCCGGGTAACGACCCGAAACCAAGACAAGGGAAATCAGGATCCTAAGCATCATCATCATCACCAACGGAATCATTATTATCAACATCATCATCATCATCATCATCATCACAAGCATCACAATCATCATCATCATCATCGTCATCATCATCAGTATTATCATCATCATCTTCATCTTCATCTTCATCATCACCACCAGAACCACCACCAGCAACAGCATCATCAAAATCACCATAAGTTCATCATCATCATGACCAGAAGCGGCGGCGTCATCATCATCATCATCATCATCATCATCATCATCATCATCATCATCATCATATTCTTCATCATCATAATTATCATCAGCAGCAGCATCATCAGCATCGTCGTCGTGATCATCAGCATCATCATCACCACCATCAACAGCATCATCATCTACATCATCAGTATCAATACCATCGTCATCATCACCGTTAACAGCATTACAACGACGATCACCACCATCATCATCAACAACATCATAAGCATCATTAAAGCCAGCATCATCATCATCATCAGCAGCAGCATCATCAACAACATTAGCACCATCATTATTATCAGTACCACCATCATCACCATCACCAGTATCAGTATCATCGTCGTCGTCACCGTCAACAGCATCACCACCAACACCACAACCACCAACAGCTTCTTCAGAATCCTCATCATTTTCATCATCACCACCAGCAGAACCATCATCATGATCATCATCATCATCATCAGCATCATCATCATCAGCAGCAGCAGCATCAGCATCAGCATCAGCATCAGAAGAATCATCATCATCATCATCATCATCATCATCATCATCATCATCATCATCATCATCCCTCCCCCTCCTCCACCTCTACTCCCTGCTCCTCTTCCTCCTTTTCCTCTCCCATTATCAGTAAGTCGTCTAATTCTCATCCTCCTCCTCCTCCTCCTCCTCCTCCTCCTCCTCCTCCTCCTCCTCCTGGTTCTCCTCCTCCTCTTCCCCGTCCCTCCTTCCTTCACTCGTCGTTTCGGCCCGAAGCATCCCGATGACTGGCCACCTCCCTCCATCCAGCTAACCATCCCGGAAAGAGTCCCTAATTTGCCGGGAGATTGATCTCGCCTAGCCGCGCGAAAGACCACAGCGTAGCAAATGTAGAAATGCCACGTTGTGAGATGCGACGCTGTTGAAGACACAACGTGGCATATATGATCCAGGGTAACCCCCCACCCACCCAATGCACATGGGATCGAGCCCCCCTCCTGATGGATGGGTACACCAGAGATCACAGTGACGGCCTTGCGACTGGGATCGTTCCCCCCCCTGCGGTCGTGGCCTTGGGGGCGTGGCGTGGTGAAGGGTGCGGGTGTACCCCCGCCCTCCCCCTGTGGGTGTGGGTTGGTTCGTCGTCGTCGTCGTCCGTCGTCGCCATCGTCGTTGTCGTCGTCGTCGTCGCCGCCGTCGTCGTCGTCTGTCGTCCGTCGTCCGTCGTCCGTCGTCCATCGTCCGTTGTCGTCGTCGTCGCCGTCGTCGTCGTCGTCGTCGGCGTCGTCGTCGGCGGCGGCGGCAGCGGCGGCGTCGGAGTCGGAGTCGGCGTCGGGTCCCTCATCCCTCATCTATCGACGTGAAAGCGTTTCGTCCCAGGCCCGCGTGGGAGTGCCAGGGCCTCGCGCCAATCGGCGCCCACGTGATCTCTTCCTTCGCCGAGTCGAGCTGGCCTCAGGGCCCTGGTGAGGGGGGCATCCAAAACCGCCGCCTCTGGCGCCAGGTGGGGATCCAGGGCGGCGCTCGGGCCTGACACTCCTCCGCCGCGCACCCCTGGGCGGAACACCCTCGTCTCTGGGAAGGCGTGCTGGATCTCCACCCCATCCGCCAGGTAGAAGCGGTTATCCTGGTAGACATGTCCACGGGTGGAGTTGCCCATAGATAAGACCCTCTCGGGTCGGCGAAGCGACTCCCGCCGTCGCGGCGGCACAACGTCCTGGAGGTAGGCTTCCCTTTGGCTTCCCAAATCAAAAGTGACGGACGTCCAGGCACGGGCCCCGCCACGCCAGCCTAGACGGTCGCATAGGCGGTCGGACCGGGGAGAGCGGCAACGGGGGTCCGCAAATTCTGCTGAAGACCCAGCAGCTCCTTGCGGAGCTCCTCCCACCACCACATGTTCAGTTCCCCCCATGCGTCCATAAGTCCAATGAGGGGTAGCCTGAACTGGTCGGCCTTGTGATCCTTGACCAAGGTGGCCAGAGCCCGCAGACGAATGGGGCCATGCCCCCCTCCGCAGAGCAGTGCGAAAGCCCTGAACTGCTGTTGGGCGGCTTTCACCCAGTCCAGAAGGTTGCCCAGCGCGGGGGGGCCGCGCTTTCGCTGAAGCGCGCGGGGGGGCCGACACCCGCGCACCCCTTTCCTCTGGCGCCGCCCGAAAGTCCGCCACCTCAAGGGCCCACTCCTCAGCAAGTTCGCCAGGGCCCTGCCCGACCGAGCACGAGGCAAATCCGCAGGCGAGGCGGTTCAAGAATGAGCGCACCAACCCCGATGCCCGCCGGCGGGCTCAATGGAAGCCCTAGCGGCCTCGGATGGCCGAGTAGAGCTTCTCCCGAGACACATTGCGGGGCGACCCTGAGCACGAAGGCGCCGCGGAACTCGGGTCGGGCGAAAGGGGGGGATAGCAAGGGGGGGGTGAGAATCAGCTCACGTAGCTGCTTTTTCCGGCGCCTCCCAACGCCGGAGGCGACTATGCATCGAGGAATGGGCTCCTCGGTGGGGCCGAAACCAGCTGCATGCAGCAAATTTCGCAACCCCCCCTTTCCCAATCCCCCCCTTTCGCCCGGCCCGAGGAACCCTGCGAGGTAGGACCAAGAAGCGGACTTCGCCCTGCGCAGGTAGCTCTGACTTCCGCCGGCCGCGCCCCCTGATTCGGCCCGCCGCCGGGGCTCCTGAAGGCGGGTCCCCGCGCTCCCTTCCTTCAGCTGGTGAAGCGAGGCGCCCGGGGCAGCGGGCCCCCTCCCGCGGGGCCCCGCAGCCTGGCCACTCCTCCGCGCCAGGGGGCCCCGCCCAGGCACTTGCGCAGTGCCTGCGGGCAGCCCGGGAAAGGAACCGTGGAGAGAGGAGCCCAGGAAGGGCACTTTGTGAGGTGCCTGCGGGGAGCCAAGGAAAAGCACTTTGGAGGTGCATGCGGGCGCCTGGGGGCGGCACTTGTGCAGGGCCTGCGCGCTGCCCAGGCTGAGCGGGACAACCTGCTCGAGGAGCGGCCGGAGGGGCGGAGTCGGGCGGGCCTAACGCACGCCCCCGGCAGTTCGATCTCCTCCAGATCCTGCAGGTAGCGGTCGAGCTCGGGGGGCATCTGCCTCGGCGGGGCGGCGGGCCCCGCCGGCCCTGCCGCCCACCGCCAGTTCCTGCCCAAGGCCCTCTCGGTCTCGTGGGACCTCGTCGTCTGGGAGCTCCCCCTCGTAGAACTGACGCCGCCGAAGAGCCCGGCCCCCGAGGATTCCGCGACGCCCCTCGGGCTCGCAAGTCCCATCGCAGGCCCGGGCGCAGTGGCGAGCGCCCCGCCCACCGAGGATCCGCCCCGAGAGCAAGCGAAGTGGGCCGATGGGCAGAGGGCCCCCCATCGCGGATCGCGACCATGGGCGCCGACCATCCGACGGGCATCCCCGGAAACTCCCTCTGCAAACCCTGGGGGGCTCGCGCGCCGGAGGCGCCGTTCCTCCGCCGGGCCTCCAGGGCCCGAGAGGCCCCGAATG